ATATATATATATATATATATATATATAAAGGGCCAAGCATCAAATAGTCCAAAGCATCATGAGAATCATCAAATCAGACTAGATGCCACATTTCCATCAATTTAGATATAAAGCATTATCATTTTCTTTCATGTACTTATGACTGAGGTTGTCTGCATTAGGAAGGATATTTGCTTCTGGACAGTACAGTCACAAAATCATCAACAGGCACCTCTGCAATTAATTGCAATTGTCTGGCAAAACAAAGACTATGAACAAATTCATTGACATAATCATGCTGTGTCCTCTCTTTCATTAAAGCCCTGGTGAAAGCGCTTGAATTGATTGTTTATGCTATAGCTCAATTTCTTCCTTAAGCTTCATGTCACTTGCTTTCAACATGCTACTTTATTCTTTCAGTATGAATACTGACCTCAGTGCTGAAGTACTTGCAGCATAATGCATCCTCTTCACTTAGGTCTTTACTTTTCTTGAAAATTTCAAAGCTCTGATTGGGGTTGTTATAGATTTGCATTCTCCCTCCCCATCTCCCCTCCACTCCCCCATGTTTTCCTCTTTACTTTATCTACCTTTATCTGTAGAGGGCTAATTGTTTAAATTTTGCACCACTCTAAATGAATACAAAGAAATAGGCTGGCACCATGTATAGCGCAATATTGTTTGATTTGCTGCATGTATGTTCTGAATTTTACACTGTGGAACTGCATCAATCTCAGAACTGCAGGACACAACAATAATGCAAAGCAGGGGTGGGGAACCTGAAGCCCAGAGGTTGCATGTGGTCCCACCTTGCCTGGATCCGGCCTCCGAGACTCAGGGTCCCCCTCAGCACTGGGAAGCCTGTGCTGGTGCTCCAGCCACCTCACTGCCCCACAGTGGAGCACACAAAATCTATTAGGTTGGGCACCCGTAGGCTCTGGTGTGTGAGGGAATGATGTGGTGAGTGTGTTTCTCCTTTTCAGTCGGGACCATGTCAGTGAGTTCTCACTTGTGTGCAGCTCCCAACTGATTTTTTTTGTGGGTCAACAGCCCCTGACCCAAAAAAGTTTCCCCACTCTGATCTATGACATTAGTGTTTAATCAAAATACATACCCCTCCCCCCAAAAATTAAGTGGATTGATAAGTGGATGTAAACCAATTTTAAAAAAGCCTTTTAATTAGCCCCCAAAATATCCATGAAAGCTAATAAAAATTGAATATACAGAACACTAAATATATTTAAAGACCTCTATAATACTGCCCATATTACACAGTCTTGAACACACAATGCAGTGAAACCCTTAAGCTCTCACTCATTCATTCCTTCACTATTTCAGCTCTACTTTCTATAGCTTCTACATGGCTCCATTCTCCAGACTCCTGTAGGTAGGTGCCTACCCCTTCACACATACAGAGAAATGTGATCCATTAGTTAATCTCACAAACACTTGCACTGGTGCCTCAATGATTTTAGGATTGAATTCTCAATTCCCAGGCTTCAAGACTATACATATTTGTAGTGGACCCTCTCATAGGCTTGCTGGCTTACTGTTCCTCTCCCGTTTCCTTGCAGCCGTTGCTTTGGCCAGGGCCTTCCCCCATAATTCCCAGTTGATGGAACAGTCTTTCTATGTTTCTCTGCCATATCTTTCCAAATCTCAAGTTTTTTCTCCTATGCATTTGCCTCTTGATCATCTTTTCCCTCTTACAACAGAAGCATTTATACAATACAATTTTTATTTTTCTTGTGAATCAATGCCATGTTGTTTACTGTACTATATTGTGTAAACTTTTAGAAATGATTTATATAAAAAAACTAAATCAAAATTACTGATTTATATATTTAAAGTGAAGAAATTTCCTGTAGTGAGTCAGCATGGCCTCCCACTGACCCAGAAGAGGAAACTTCACCAAAAACCCTTTGGTGGACGGTGCCAGGACCATTCAGTCCCACCCACAGGAAACAAGAAGGCAGGGCTGAAGATATAAAGAGAGGAGCTCCAAGCTCGGTTAGAGCTTGGCTGCCGAGCAGAGCAGAGGCTCTTACCCAGCCCCAGCAGAGGAAGGCCCTGCCATGCTGCCTTCCGAGGCAGGATTGGGCTGGGCCGCCCAGGCCATTTCCAGGCCCTGAGCACTGGCCTAGACTGCCATGGCTTCCACCAGACCCGGGTAACTGTGGAAGCCTCTGGACCACCTGGACCCTTACCCACGCAGGATCCCGAGCCTACAGACATGCTGCCAGAGCCTCCGTCCCCAGCCAACAATGAGGAGCAGCACCCGACTCGAGCTAATTGGCCCCCAAAAGGAACAGGGATGTGGCCCAGGAACAGCCAACCCTGGGGTGGCTGAGGAAATGGAGGTTAGCGTGTTTGCGGCTCAGATCCCCACTAATACACAAACCTGGACAGCACGTCATGGCCTGGACCCCTGCCAACTCAGTGACTGCAGTGCTGCCACTACTAGGGCCCTGGGCTGGGACGCAGTGGAGCGGGTGGGTCTGCATCTCCCTCCCCCCACTCTTCCCTTGGATGGCAGGTTCCCCCTGTGGCGAAAGAAGAGGGGGCTCTCTGCCAACAAGGAGACCCAACCCTTGGCTCAGCTTGCAAATAGGTCTGTGCCTTGAACCTTTTGGGACCACTTACTTGTTTAACTGTCTTTGTTGCCCCACCCTGAGCAAGGCCCTGGGCTCAAACTACCAGCCAGTTTAACAGAAACTCTTATTTGCTACCCCACCCCAAATGCAGGCGTAGCCTCTAGACAGTTGCCTGGGTTACCAGAGCTGATTGTTTGTTGGCTGCCCCGCCCCCAAATAAAGGCCTGGCCTTTAGAACTGCTATTCGGCCTGCAGTCAGGCCTGAGACCCTAAACTCTGGAGCTTGTAGGGTGTCAGTAAAGCCTCCCATTGACACAAACTATTACACTCCCCTGTTCTGCCTTATTCTGAATTAGAGAGTTGGCAGTCAAGGAAAGGTACTGTACTTTACTTAACTGCCTCTATACATGCTATAAAAACAGGGTTAGTCTTTTTCAACCAACTTTATGATGGTCATACACAGTGTGGAAAAATATTTTTGTAGTCAGATATTTGAAGTGCCAGACAGTTATTAGAAATCATCTTAACAGTCCTAAAACAGATATTTTTGCATTTAAGTATTAAGGGAACAAGAAATAAAACACCCCTTACTTTTTGCACATAACACAAAGTTTCTTTGGAGCAGGTTTATGTGAAAATGATGAGAGGCAGGCAGTAGAACAAAACAGGTGAGCTGATCCTTTCCGCTGATATGCAGTCTGTCCCTTCTGCAAGGGCTTTTTGCAATTTGCACATGTGACTTTAACTTGTTTAGAAGGCTGTTGTTGTGCAGAAGGCTGGAAAATCTGTTTAGGAAGTGAGGCCACTGGTGACAAGGAATCCACACCTGGTTGCTTCTGATTTCTAGGGAATGAAGCTGACTGGGATATCCAGGAATCTTAAAAATACAAAATAAATAGAAAATTAAGTTAATAGACATTTTCCAATATTCTCACAGATTTGATTATGTTAGGATAATTTGCTAACAAGTGATTAGAGGCATATGTAAAATAATTGAAAGAACATGCTGAGTCAGTATATTTAGATCAATGGCACTGTTCTCTGCCATCACAGGAAATCCCAAAACAGGAGAGCATCTCAAGGCAGCCATTTCCTAGACCAGGAGATACTAGAGTACTTCACACCAAGAGTTGTCTGCAAATTGGTTTTGAACCTGTAAACAAACATATAATCATGCCACATGCAGTTAAAAATTAGCCAGAAATGTCAAAGCAGAATTTCCAATTTGAAGATTTCATCAATTAGAAATTTCCATTTTCTAAAATATTACTGAAGGTTTATAAATTTGTACCAATCAAATGTTTAACCACTGAAGTGGGTTATCAAAGATATTTGTCATTTTTTTATTTTAAAAGCAAACCATCTACAGAAAATCTAAGGAAAAGATCACAAATAAAGTAGTTAGAATAACGTAAAAATTATTCTAATTTAAAGCTTGCAATATTACATACAAAAATAGATTTGCAACTTCTGAATTAGTTTCCCAGTCCAGCCTCTCTGGCCCCAAGTCTGGTCAGAAGATTTCTGTATTACAATTAAAGACATGCAAAAATAGATTTACACCGATCGCCACATGTACCTATATGATTCCTATGGGAAGCATTTCCTGTTTTACTCTAAAACCCTGTTTAAGGCAATAACTACCAAAAAGGTGGGGAACCTTTTTTAGGTCAAGGGGTCACACACAAGTGAGAAGTCCGCAACTGACAAGGAGAAAGACACTCCGCATATTACCCTCCTACACCAAAGGCAAGTAGATTTTGTGTGCTCTAGCCCCACAGGCTCCCAAACTAGGAGGCGAGCCCTGAGCTCAAGAGCCAGATCCAGTTAAGCCGGGGCCATGTCTGGCCCCCAAAAGCTTAGATTCCCTACTCCTGAATTAGGACAATAGAAATCTGCAGGCTAGAAAAAACTGATGCATTCTCTAGACTTTGGTCTTCTCAATAGGGATCAACCAACTTTGAATGAATAGTGTAAGTCCATGCAGTACATTCCTCCAATGAGTATTCTCTCCTCCCACCTAGCTCTGGATAACACAATCCCAGAATACAGAGACACTCTTAGACAATCAGTTATTCTATAGTTTAGCATGTTGCAGATCTATTTGAATCATAATTCAATTTGTCCCATAGGAAATGAACTAAAAAAAATCCCTGTGTCTACTCAACAGAATTTTTAGTATCTCGCTTAGATTCGGAAGACAACATTCTAAGCAAAACTATTCTCCTACAAAGCCCTCTTTCTAGCTACTTCTCCAGAATTTAAGTTTCCCTTGCACAACTGCTGTTGGAAGTGTGCACCTCATTCCATCAGTGAGGCGTCCATCGTAATTTGTTTGAATGGCTGGTGCCGGTGGAAAGGCACCCCACTGAAGAGGTTGTGTGCCTGTGTCCACCATTATAGGGAAGTGAGGACTTTTAGGAGAGGAGAAACATGCCTGTGGATCTGACGACTAGCTGGTGTGTACATTAAGAGATCCAGTGTTGGAAACAGAAGCGCAGCCTGACATGACAAACCACATATGCCGTAGCCACCATGTGCCCCATAAGTTTGAGGCACATTATGATGGGTACCGTTGGGCTGGTGGTAATGATTGTAACAAGGTTGCTTATATTGTCGAAATGGTGGTTGGGGAGATAGGCTTGAGCTGTTGTGGAGTCTATATGAGCCCCTATGAACTCCAAACATCGTGTGGGGCGTAGTATGGATTTCTGCTAATTGATAATGAAGCCCAGTGACTGAAGAGTGGTCTTTGTGAATGTGATCATGTCTTGATGGTCCTTTGTGAGGAACCTTGGACAAGACAAATCGCCTATAGAAGGGAATATTGTGATCCCATTGCATCTTAGATACGCTGCAGCCACCTTTTCCAATGGTCTTGGAAAAGACTCTGGGGGCAGAGGAGAGTCCAAATGGGAGGACTCTGTATTGAAAGTGGTCTGAAGTGACCGTGAATCATAGGAAGCACCTGTGTGCAGGATGTATTGAAATGTAAAAAATGCGCATCTTGAAGGTCGAGGGCTGTGAACCAGTCCCTCCTGTCCAGTGCTGTATTTATTGTAGCGAGCATGTCCAATTTGAAGCGTTGCCTGCGAAGATATTAGTTTAATTGGCATAGGTCCAAGATAGGTCTCCAATTTCCTGTTCTCTTTTCGGTGAGAAAGTAGTTCGAATAAAATCCCCTCCCCCCCCCCTTTGTATTTTTCAGGCACCCACTCTATGGCTCCTATTTTGAGGTGGTGTAAAACCTCCTGGCAGAGCAGAGTCTCATGAGAGGGGTCCCTGAAGAGGGAAGGAAAAGGTGGAGAGATTGGAGGAATTGCCATGAAGGGGATAGAATAGCCACAGCTGACGATTTCTAGGACCCACTGATCTGTAGTGATTGCTGCCCACTGATTGCAGAAGGGGCACAAGTGGTGGTGAAATATATTGTGCTCGCCTGGTACTGTAACCAGGGGGGAAGTGAGACAGACCCTTGACCAAATTTTCAAACGTGCTGCCTCGAGGCCTGGGTCACAAAAGAGCAGTTGACAGCTCTCTTTCGTTGGTTTTGCAGTCTGAAGCAGTTTTGCTCAAAAGGTTGGTATTAGTGTTTTCTAATGAAGGTTGTCCCCTTGTGTCTTTGATGCAGTGTGTAACACTTTCTTCGGTAAGGGGGAGTATACATCCCCAATGTGCGAAGGGTAATGCATTCAAGACTTTGCCGGCTTGAAGTGCCTGGCTCATCTCCTTTGCTAATTATTGAAGGGAGAGAGGGGACTGGTGAGAGTCTAGTTACTGAGCGTGTTCTCTGAGGAGAAGGGCTTAGCTGTTTGCCCCGAGGAAAAGTTGCGCTTGAGCCCTTACTGCCCCTTGATAATTATGGGGGTCTAGGAATCTATCCATAGACTGCATGCACGCTGTGAGTTCCCTTTCTTTGAGAGCTCTTGTTGTGAGGCTACAGAAATGGACACAATTGTGAGGTACATGTGTGTCCCCCAACAGTGTATACCTTCACTGTGGGCATCAGAGGCTGGAATAAATTCTCTGCATTTACCGCATCTTTTCTCCTTACGAGAGTCTGGCAATGTCTCCCAAAAGCTAACTAATTATACAAGCAGCGCTGACCGCACATGGATCGCTGGTTCCTGTTTCTTTTCTTTTGCTTGCTGCGGCTTGCCACTGCGTGGCGGTAAAAGCTGGCAGCGGTGGCTTGTTTTGTTTTCTGTAAAGAAAAGGGAGTCCTGAGTGCCTCAGGACTATCTATGCTGATAAAGTGGTTCTGCTTTGTCTTGCAGAGCACACTGAAGAGGAGACAATTGAGCTCTGTCTGTGGCCGAGGGTAGTGAAGAAGGAACTGCAGAGAAGCGGGCTGTGCGTGCTACTTCAAAGGCAGGAGCGCCACTCTCCGCTCGCACATGTGCAGCCCGCCCAATCACTGCTCTCAAAGTCTCCGATCTATGGTGCCGGGATGAGTGCAACACCAACTGTGGAGTACCCATGGGGACATTACTCGAAAAACACAACAAGACTATTCCACCAATATTACCTAACTGATGCTTCATGGACCCTATGGTTTGCACTTTGTTTTCAGTTGAGACCCCAACTTGCCACTCATACCTTCTAGTGCCTTACCCTTCCACAGGCTGCAACTGTCCTTGAGCTTCCCCTTACACCTTAAGATTTCAAGTGGACTTCTGTAGCCAGACAGGAACCCCCCTGTAACATCCATTTTTGCTTGCCTGGAGCATGCAGGGCACACAGAGCAGTAAAAGCCTTGGAACAGAAGGCCCGGATATGCAGGCTGCTGTGACCATGAATGGCTATAAACAGAGATATGCCAATTGCTGACCAAGAGGCTGCCGAGGAGTGCCCTTGACTAAAATCCCATATTGTTACGAACACACAGCTGTCCGCGGGGGGAGGAATCTCCCGCCCAGCAAAGAATATCCGGCACTCCTAATTTAGCTATCTTCCTCTCTTACAAGTGTAAATTATTTGAAACTCCCTTGTAAGAACTGGCACCACAAAACAGACCAGTACAATTCGGCATTTTAGATAAGAAAGAGGATACGGGCACCCAGGGATATAAAGATGGGTCCAGCAGCACATTTATTCTGAGTGTCAATCTACCATCTATCTGCTGGTCGGGTTAGGTGATTGATCTCCTGAGGTTCCATGGGGACGCCCACCTCGTATTAGTCTTTCTTAGGAATTGAGGGACCGGCCCTGGCTTGACCCACTGGAGTCGAAAGGCACAGAAAGGGGTAAAAATTGTACCTGGATGTGGTCCTTTGTCTTAAGTGTACACATAGACTTAGAGCTCTTTAAAGATTAAGCTGTTACTTGGTACCATTATTTCTATTTTCTATCTTTATTTTCTTTGTAACCATTTTTAAGATCTATATTTGCTAGCAGTTAAGAAAGAGAGCAATAGCCATTGTAACCATATGCTTTTATAAGTCTTTTTAATAAACCTGTAACTGTTTAAGTTTTTAACCTGACTCCTTCAGTTGCTGTAACAGAACCAAGCACAATTTAAAAGAACTTCAGCCGGTCATAAGGGACAGGTATAAAAGGAGCTTGGGCGTTTGGATCGTGTCACTCCCAGGTGACAGATCTGTTGGGGCATCTCTCAGTCTTCCCTAGACTGCCCACTGCGAAGGGATCCTATATCCTAGAAGCTAAAATCTGAGATGTAATAAGCTCTTCCTATAAACAGGGGCATCTGTCAGCCTCTTGGCTACCCTCTGCGACGGGACTCCGGTCCTAGCAGTAAAGTCACGGACGTTAAATCTCAGCGCACGCACGCGCACACACACACACACAGCCCTGACCGTCAGCTGACAACTTCCCTCATTTCTGAAAGGGAAATACCATAAAGCGTAGAAACAGTAA